AGTGGGAGGTAATAGATGGTCATTCCATATCATACAGCTGGCTTTTATACTGTTCTCTGTCTGATACTCGCACACATAATAACTCCTCATTTAGGAAACGGAGCCCTCCTCTGTTTCCATTCTGACTCGCCACGTCGATCTCCATGTGCTCCCCAAGTTGAAGGGGCTGACAATTGATTCGGAGTTGCCTTGTGCCCTCTCTGTTTCCTGTTGGTCCACCCCATTTTCCAAGAAGGCTCACTCCATATGCCGGCCCACCATCGGTCCGTCTCTGCATTGGAATTTTCCGTGCCTTCCTCAAGTTTCCCGGAGTCCCAAATCAATAGGTGAGCAAGTGCGTCTCCAAATCACGGCCAAATGGTGCAGTTGGGTAGCACTCGCGGGTTGCGTTGAGAACAACTTCATGGACCTACTCGCCGCAGGACCTCCGTTCGATTCGGGGTTCAGCCTTCCCGCAATGTGTCTATATTTATGAGTTAGCTCCCCTGTTTTGCTATTGGAATCACGGCCTGGTGGTACAATAGTACCACATGCTATTAACTTGAATCACCCAAGTTTTCATTTGCAAGTTTCTCGTTCGTTCGGGGTCCGGCCTTGGGCGCGAATATCGGGTTTTTTTTATTTCAAAACAGAATCTGTGTTTCTTTTAGATTCGGAGTTGAAGGGCAATGGCCTGGTGGTGTAGGGTTAACACGTGTGAACTGCCCACGTCAGTTTAGCACTCCTTCACGAGTTTTCTGTTCGATTTCGGAGTCTGGCCATGCATTTAATCCAGTGAACTTTTAATTCAGGTCCGTATCATTTTTGTCCGTTTCTCGCCCTTTCACCCTAACCGTTACGCACCTGGTGGTGTAGTGGTTAACACGGTGTGATGTGGACTGCGGTTCTGTGATTTGACTGACCCAAGTGGGTAAAGTCAGGCAGGGGTCACAGGGTTGTAATTCGTCCTCTAGGAGGAAAATTACTCTGGCGCGGAGATTTGTGCAGCGAAGGTATGTGTAATGGTTTTTTCTCAAAGTTACAGGTTTGTGTTACAGTTCTCTCCGCAAAGAGTGAACGTTCGCCAGGTTCCTCAAAGATTTGTTTCTTCGTTGGGGGCTGGCCTTTCGAACAAGCCACGGTCGGATAGCTTTCTACACTTGCGCGAAGGTACTGCCTCCGCAATGCGAAGGCTAATCCGCGCCGGGATTGCAAGAGGTATGTGGGTTATACGTTTTTTCCACCCGTCTCGCTATAATGCGGACGGCAGGTGTCTTCAGCACTGTATAACACAGCGTGGACAAGTATATAGTGTTATCCTTCGTAACCCGCTTTCTTTTCTCCGCTGTGAACACGCTATATACTATATTGCGGAGTCGATTCCGCAAGTCAGCTCGGGGTGAAGTGATGTGAATTCGTAGGTGGGAAGTGGTTATAGTCGTGCGGAGTGACCGTTCCGCAACGATGGGATGGTATTCCGTGCAAGGTTATGCAATCGAATCCCAAATCTAACGGTTGCACGCAGCTAAGTTAGGCTGCTGGCCGTTTGGTGGTATGCCGCGTATTCTACTACCGCGCGCTTTCAACTCCAGAGTAACAGAATTCCCTTCCGCTTCGAATTATCGAGCGGGAGGACTGTGCGGACAGGTTTTCTTGATGCCCCTGGTCCTAGTTGACCTTGGTTTGTCCCACTATTGAGCGGCGTAACCCGCAGCGGAATGTATTTATATTTTTAAGTCTCCACCCCGACGTACTGGGGAGGAGTAGCTTTTAGGTATGAGCAGTGGGAGGTAATAAGATAATTTTCCAGTATTAGATCGCAGCTATTTATACTAATTCCCGCCCGACGCTCGCGCGCGTACTTGTTTCCTTTTCCGCCTGTGCTGCCTCGCTCCGCAGATCTCCATGTGTTTCCGCAACAAGAATGGGGTTGTCGGTCTTTCAACCTTCTTCCCATACGCATTCCGCAACTTATTTGTCCCAGGCCTGTCCTCCACCGCCCCGGTCCGCCCGGGCCGACTCCGCAACTTGTTCAGCGTTTGGATATCCATTCCGCACTTCGCTCCGCCTTTCCTTCCGCGCTTTGTTCTTTAGTGACTATGGGTCCACGTAATGGCCAGTCCCCTGGCTAGGTCTGAATGGTGCCATCTTCGCATTGACTGCTCCGCAATTTCCTAGGCTTCCGCTTTTGCTCCTCCTCAGTGTCCAGCTATTATGGTCAAATGGTGCAGTTGGTAGCACATGCAGATTCGTTGAACCGTTTCATCGACTACTCACTGCGTGACCCTTGTTCGAATCAAGGTTCAGCCGTTGAAATTTAACCACTTTTTTTTGCATGATCTTTTTTTGTTGTGAGTCCGCGCATTTTCGTTCATGCCCTTTGTTCGATTCGGAGTCAGGTGGTGTGGAATTTGTGTCAGCCTTTTTTCTTCGTTTTGCTCCGCACTCGCATATTTGCTGTTTTGGCCTGCGGAGGGAGCACATCACAAAGTGATAGCTCACAACGGGTAAAATGCATGAGCATGTAGATTGGCCCTTCGCGAGCTCTCCGTTCAATTCGGAGTCTGGCCTTGTGGAATGATGTGAGTCTTTTTAAATCTGCTTGTATTTGGAGGTGCAGAAGTTGTCATATTCTTGGATACGGAGTCATGATTGTGAAAGCTTGTTTTTCCTCCGGTTTGGCTGCGTTCGGAGCACATCACAAAGTGACCGCTCACAACGCTCTCTATCTTAGGTCTAATTGGACCTGGTGTGTGGGATTACCAGGTGGTGCACATATGTAATACCGGTGTCCGCATCGACTGCACGTGCAGAATAAGTTTGTACACCACATTCACGTGTGCCGATTCATGTATGCCGATACACCTGTGCCAAGCACAACTGAGTTTGAGGCACGTCAACTCAAGTCGACCCGGCAGGGTGTGAATCAGCCTAAGGAATGTGTGGATGAGGGCAGGGAGGACAGGGGGATAGAAAGAGATAGAGGCAAAGGAGGGATCGTGGAAGCCAAGGCCGCGCTGTAAATGTGTGGGCGTGAGGAAGAAAGAAATGATGGAAGCGCACGTACCTTTGAGAGACCGCGCACATGAACGAGGGCAAAAGTCCTCGTGCTCATCCGTCGGCATCACAACGTTAGGGTACATAAGCAGCGCGACATTGAGGTGTGTGAGCATAGGGACTAGCATGGGAGAACCGGTAAGTTACCGGCTGAAAACCACGGATAGATCTGATGGCCCCCTATCCATGGTTTATACCGCGGGTCGACTATGGTTAACTGTGGTTCACTACCCCTGAGTTGGCTACCACAGTGCACTGTTGATCTCAAGCGGGAAGATCAAATCAATGCAATATCTACTAGTCCTACTTCGATCTATACAATGTTAAAATGTATTAATCATCATCATGCCACCCCCGTTCCATCGCCTGCTCAAGGATTTTGATTGCGGGGTTGAGATCAGGAAACAAGGGAGTGTCATCCCGTGACCCGATGGCCATTGAACTGTGGAAGGTTTGTTTGGCGGTATTGTGCTGCATACACCCCAGTTTTCGCCGACCCACAGAGAACGAACGTTTGGCGTTGTGATGTGGACTGCGGTTATTGTACTCGAATCTGCCCGTGGAATTACGGTCAAACTGAAATACAATAGTTTTATTTGTCCTCTAGGGGGAAATAATCGGGCTAGTGGCGCTCTTTACTTCTACGGAGTGATATTTTTATGTGGTGGTGGTGGTTACAGCCAACGACAGTACCAAAGGCGAGGATCAGAATTTTCTAAATTTGGAGGTTTTTGACATCTCTGAAAGAATTCACCCTATCTCGCTCAGTTCTGCACCGTTTGGGCTGCAAGTATGCTAGATAATTCGGGCTAATTCATATGCAATTACTCATAGAGCCAAAACAACGAAATAAACTTATTTTCAATGCACTGGGAAATCGGGCTTGCCGTGCAGTAAATTCGCGCTAGCACTTTCAGGTTACCTTCAAGTGCCGCAGTTTTGATGCAGGGAGACTGACATGTTTTTCAATGAACACAATAAACGCAGATGACTGTATATCGCCCCCAGAAAATTTAAAACCCACTACGGGGCATTTTTTGGCGAGCATGTTGAAATCAACTGGTTGACTTGACTCTTCCATCTAAACCATGCGAACCACACACTAGAAGACTTTATGGGTCTATTTAACCGAACCGTCTGCTCAAAAAAGATGAAATATGTGTCCCGAATGCCTAATTAGACATGTCGCGGGGTGCGCGGCGCTCTTTTTACAGTTTGATAGTTCTGCGCAATTTGTTTTAAGTCGTCACAGCCAGATAGCACAGCGGTTAGTGCGCGGATGTTTGATTGGCAGTATTCGATCCGCTACCCTCATTCGACTCGGGGTCTGGCCTTTAAAGCGGTAGCTTTGTTCAAGGAACAAAGCTACCTCTTTTTATTTGCGAAAGCGCGCCGTTCTTTGTTCTTAAGTGCGCCAGTAGTTTTGAATGCCAGCGTGCCAGTGGTTTCTGCGGCAGATGAATTCTAACCTCCGGGGCCAGTCAAAGTGCGCCAGTGATTTCCATCAGTAATTTCCAATCTGCGAGTGCACCAGTGACCATGCTTTGCCGGTGGTTCTGAAAGGCGCTTTTGTTCTGCATGGAAGAGTGTCTGGAGCTAATCACAAAGTGATAGCTCACAGCGTCCACTGAGGTTGCTGAAGGCAGAATGAACACAACAAATGAACACAATTCAAGATGACATACCCGGTGCAGAGCAAAAATCTGAGCCCATTCTTGCCAGCGACGGCGTTGATTCCTCTTGTAGGAACCAATAGCTGATGGGTCCGCTGAGAGCCGCCAATGAGCTCGTCAAAATGGGAGGTTCAGCAAGATAGGCCTGTGTTGTATCGGGGCCGTTTGGAGTTGTTGTGATTGTTGTGGGAACAGTGTTCCATCAATTGTGTCGTTAAATAATATTTCTGAGTGCAGCACACAGATTTGAGGTGAACGTGAACGGAATAAATTTACCTTTCCAGCAGAGGTGCTGCTAGATGCTTCGGCTGTCGGTGGAGCTGTATATACTTTGCTGAAGGCCTTGTATGACTCTTCCCAGTGGTCGATTGCTAGCTTCTTGATCTGCTCAATATCTTCGTCTTTCCACTTGCGACCACGGAACCAGTCAAGCTTCTTGTCGGGGGACATGACTGGTGATATAATTTAGATAAGTTCGGCAAGACAGCGAGTAAAGCATACTGATGGCAATTGAATACACTTCGCACTTGTCAGTCAATGAAATATACTTTTCCGCCACCATCACATCCGCACAGCCCGCTATGTGCACCACATCTGACATCTCATCGTTGCGGACATTTCTAAGTGAGGTAAGTAGGTCCTCAAGCGCACTGATCAAATCCGAGATTAGAGGAGTTTCTGATTGAGAAAAATGCAAGGTCATTTTGTCAAAGAGCTGTAATTTGAAGTGAGAAGCAAATC